TTTTTTTTTTTTTTTTTTTTACTTTTTACAAGAATTTCACAATTATGTCCAAACGCGCACTTAAACAAAGAAGAGAAAGGAAGAAAGGTAGCATAGCATAGTTTAGTATGGAATAAATCTAAAGTTTTCTTCAAATAATACTCACCTATTATTTTTTTCTTCTCGAGAGTCAATATCACTTAAGTTTAAAGCTAAATTGAATTATATTAATATAATATTTCAAATTTAAAAATTCAAAAATTAGACAGAAAATACTATAATTTGTAAATTTTCTCATATCAATACTTGGGTATTTTTGGCTTCTCGAGAGTGATATTAATAAGGAAAGCTAATCACCAATTATTATACTAAAGATATTGCAATATTTTGTATTTATTGCTTTTATTGTGATCCTGATTTTCTATCAATCAAGAATTTTAATTTGTATATTCTCTTTTCTATTTTGAGCACTTTGCTCCTCAAAATCTTGTATATACAACTACTGTTGAAAATACAAAAAATTATTGAAAAGTTAAGCTAAACTAGATTAGATTATTTTAATATTATAAAATTAAAATTTAGATATTCAAAAAATAAATAGAAAGTACTATAATTTGCAATTATTCTCATATTATTATGATAAAAAATATTAAAATATTGATCAAAGTTCATATTATTTGAATCTCGAAAAGCCAGACGTGACAAGTATTTTAGGATGGAACGAGTAATGCTAAAAGAAGCTTTGTAGTTTATTCTGAATTAGAAACATAAAAGTAATTGCACAATAAGGGATCACTATTATGTATCTCAACAACAAGAAAAGAATATCAAGTAATAACAAATGTACATTATTCTACACCTAAAAATTCCAAATCTTAAATTCAGATTCAAGAAAGGCATAAATGGATGCAGAAAAAATAGTATATATATAATAAGGTCTTGGTAAACCTAAAACATTCGCAAACTCTTTCTTCCAAATTTTTTTCTTTTATCCAATAATATTTTTTTTCTTCAGTAAATTATTATTGTGAAAGTCATATATATAATATGGCATTCAAAATTGAAACTGTGGCAAGTAGTAAATTGAAAGGAGAAAAATGGGATGATGTTGATCAAGGTGATATTGCAATGATTTTTATTTCCTATGGAAGAATAATTAGTCATCTCCAATTTTTATATGTCAAAAATGGAAACTTTTCTTTATCAGGCAAACATGGTGATCTTATTGAACATCTGGAAATAGTAAGTTCCATTTTTTTTTTTTTGTATTTTTTTAAAAATGAATTGTTAAAGCAAAACTCGCTTTTACGGCCAGACTTTTCTATAATAGTTATCTTATATAACAACACTTCAGTATTAACGGCCAAGTTTTCTTTGAAATTATTTTTTCATGTTATGTTTTAATATATGTTTTCTATTACAACCAGGGGCGAAGCCACCTTTGTATAAGGGTGGTCAATTGACCACCCTTCACGAAAAAATTACAAAAAATTACAATGTGTATATAAGTAAAATATTGATTTTAGATGTGTAAAATATATATTGAACACCCTTCGTCGGAATTTTTTTTAGTTCTTTCAAGTCTGAACACCCTTGGAAACATTTCTGGCTTCGCCACTGATTACAACACTTCAGTATTAACGGCTAAATTTTCTTTGGAATTATTTTGTCATGTTATGTTTTAATATATGTTTTCTATTACAACACTTCACTGTAACACCCAAAAAGTATCAGAACAACGAGGTTATTATATAGAGATTTAATTGTATATAATTCTAAACTAGATAATCACTAATATCAAGTAACAACAATTATGATGTTGAAGGCATAGCTAGACAATTTTTTTTTGTTTGTACATTTGAAGAATATATTGTATTTTTGTTGATAATGCCCCCTTGAATTTCAACATGGCAACATATATTAAAATCTCTACTATCCACAATTATCAAAAGTCACCACCTACAAAAATAAATTGACACTAAAGAAAATCAGATTATTATATTTTATAATTTCATTATCTATGATTGGGTCGTAAAAACTCCTAAATAAGTACACAATTTATGAATCAAATTCATTTTGGTTAACGAAACAAGTTATTCTAGAAAAGTTAGGAGATTCATCGTAAAAGATATACATAATTCTACTTATGACAGTAAGAAAACGACATGATCAATGAGGATTTATACAAGAGATTCTGAAATTAAGGCATAATTACTACTGTGTCGATTCGAAGAAAAATTATTTTATTTTACTATAGTAACACGTCTAGTCCCGTTTATATTTTATTTTGGGAGAAATTCAAAAATAGCCAGATTTATAAGTGGTCGTTCAAAAATAGTCTATTTTCAAAAGTAATCGAAATTTAGCCACTTTTCATGTAAAGATAAATCTGAACGAAAACACTGTTCAAAACCCGGAAAATACGTCAGTATATTATGCTGGAGTTCCAGCATAAGTATACTTGAACTCCAGCATATTATACTGGAGTTCCAGGATAAGTATGCTGGAATGATGGAGTTCCAGCATAAGTACACTAGAACTCCAGCATAATATACTGGAGTTCCAGCAAAGTATAACAGTCCAGTATAATATGCTGGAAGTTCATACACAAGTGCTCGAATCTCCAGTATATTATGCTGGAACTTTCCGTGTGTTGGAGTTCCAGCATAATATGCTGGAAGTTCATACACAGGTGCACCGTACTCCAGTATATTATGCTAGACCGATCTCTGTTGCAGAAAAATAGTGGTTATTTTTCATTGACTTGGTAAACGCTGGTTATTTTTGAATGACCGGTCCGAAAACTGGCTAGACCATGCTATTTTTACTTTTATTTTACTACAGTAACACGTATAGTCCCGTTTATCTTGTCATGTCAACATTTCTTAGCTAACAAAATTTTCAAAAAATTTGCAGATCAAGCTAGATTATCCCTCTGAATATCTGATTGGAGTAAATGGTAGACATGGAGTAATTGGAACAGATAGAGTTTTGAAATCAATCACATTTGTGACCAACAAAAACTCATATGGACCTTTTCCAAAAAATAAACCTACTTATATGGGAAGTGAAGATACAGAATTCAACATAAATGTTGGAAATTATGGTTGGCTCAATGGATTTCATGGCACAATTTGTAATGGTCAACTTGAAAGCTTTGGAGTTTACATTAATCCAATCCCAATTAGCAAAGATATTGATTATGATAAAATAGATGTAGTTGATTGCTAAGTGTATATCTACTAGTTTCAATCTCAAAGTGACACGTGTACTCATAATAATATGAATGAATATAAAGATTTGTCAAGGTTCATTGAGAAAAAAATCATATGTCTCGGGTTCAAGCTCTGTAAAAAAAAAACCTCTCCATAGAGATGCACTTTAATCCCTCTATGTACTTGCCGGCGTAAATGCAAATTCCCTCTATGTACTTGCCGGCGTAAATGCAAATTAGTTGAGTCAGTGAATTTCAAGTATTGGATATCCAAAGCAAACTGGTAAAGCTGTTGCCATGTGGCCTGGAGGTCACGGGTTCGAACCGTGAAAACAGCCTCTTGCAGGGTAAGGATGCGTACGATAGATCCTTGTGGTCTGACCCTTCCCCGGACCCCACTTATAGCGGAAATTTAATGCACCGGACTGCCCTTTGGATACCTAAAACAAACAAAATATATATTTGATGGTACAGTCAAATCTCTCTATAACAGCCTCGTTGTTCCGAATATTTTTGAATGTTATAGCAAAGTGTTGTTATATACTAGAACATATATTATAACATAGCATGGAAATTGGTTCCGAAAAATCTTGGCTTTTGTAATGAAGTGTAATTATATAGGAATACTGTTATAGAAAGGTCTGACTGTAACAAGATTTTTTCTTTCCTTTTTTGATAGGTTGAAGCTTTATCAAGATTTATTTTCAAATTTAGTAACCATGAATAAAAGGTAAACATATAAAGCAAAAATCTAATTGAAGAAAGATTTGATTATGTGCCTACCTCCAACTTATATGTAAACTAATGAACAACTTCAAACTTCAACAAAACCAAGTGAAGTAATTTAAAACCAAACAAGCCCCTAATTCAGGACAGAAAAAGGTAAGAATAACACAAAAATAAGACCAGAAAAGAAAAAAATAGCAACACAAAATGGAAGATTAGGGGAACAACTATTCAATCTTCTGCATTTGTACTTAGAAAAAAAATCAATTGAACCATACACCATCCCACTTTTGGATAATTTTATAGACAACATCAAATTGTAAGGCAAAAGGAGGATCCTACAAGTATGTCTATCTTACAGCAGTAATTTAGTCGAAATCGCGCACCAAACAAGATGGAACACATTAAGGCCACGGCCGCAATCAAGTAGACTGCCTACGAAATTATTTACAACTTTATAATCCTGAAAGTGTTCTCACATCAAAGGAGTTGCCACTCATCTTCAGGTCTACCACCATCCGATTCACCTGGGCCCACAGCATCGAAGGAGTCCAGTTCTGGAACACCAGAATTACTAGTCACCCTGTCGTTATACTCAACTGATGTGGCTGGGGTACGAGTTTCAGTTATCGTAAACAATGGAGCCCCGTTTGATTGATCCACTAACTTAGATGCCCGTATACAGAAATCATCAAAATCACCTACAGAAAGTATACAGAAGTTAAGGATCAAGAAGTGACTCATATTAGCCAAGGTAAAACAAGTGCAACGATTTCTGGAACAATTAGAGAAACATGCAGACGTACTCTTATCTCTACAATAAAATCCGATTGCCAAGGATGGATCAATTGAATCTAGAGGGAAATGCCTTACAGTACTGCAATCGAAGTCAAAAGGTTATAATGTGATTAAAACTAAAAATGGAAATATCAGATGAGAAACTAGAATGCGTATTCGCTTACTTGCAGTGATAAGATGAAGTATCAATATCTAACTTATCCGTTTTAATATCAACAACCTGCACATCAGACATATAATGAGAACGTTACATCCGACATCCAATAAAATTAGATAACAAAAATACTTCAAATTTTGAAACTTTCAGTGATAAGATGAAATATTAAAGTCCAGATTATCCGTTATGGTATCAACAACCTGCTCATCAGACAGATAAATCCATAAAACTTCAAATATTAAAATCACCGGAAAAAAGAGATTACAAGCACCATAAAGACAGTTATAATAAGTAAAAAAGGTAGGAAAGCTGAACGACCAATCAAGAAATACTCGTTTATTAGAGATGTGATTCCTTACCCGTCCCACTCGCCGCAAAAAAAAGAAGAAACTAAATGGAAAAGCTCATACAGGGACCAATTAATTTTTTTGATATGCATTTTTGGTGTTGCCGAAAAGTGAAACTAGAGGAGTCTGATGGATCAAAACCACTGAAATGAATATGCTGGAACATTTTAGAAATCCACCGAAAATAATGTCCCAAACCGAAAATTATGAAATTACAAAGAAGGTTCTCCAAAAGGGGAACTTGACTAGCAACGCTGTTCACTGCCATCGCTGATGACGATTAATCAACCGACTAGCATCTTGGTTAATGCGGAGATGTTGAGGCAGCAGAAAATGGAACATTGGGAAAAAACCATGATGTCAAGAAATTAGGACGTGGAGGACGGAAAGGTGTAATTTGGTGATTGTTTGTTATATAGCAGCACTCCCGCTCCAGCAATAAGGGTAATATTTTAGCCTGTAGAAGATGCTAAGAAAGTCCTCTAAAGCAGCAAGGATCTGTTAGAGAATATTCTACTCAGATCCGCATAGAAGCTTTTTCTAAGAAGGGAACTTTCAGCAAACAATAAGATCTCTTAAATCAAACTTTAAAAGCCAAATGATTTTTTTTCTTTCATTTGGGTGCTTCTTATACCATCCCATACTGAGTGCTGCTGCTTTCGAATATATTGGATGACATCTTTCCTAATACAAAAAATGACGGATTCCGGGCAAAAGCCGACCTATAAAAACCAGATCGCGGTGCTACATAAAATCCACCAATTTTCTCCACACTAACGAATCAAATGAAAAAAACTTCAAATCTTAATAAGCATAAAAAAGGTAACAAAGATCAAACAATTATGACATTCTTGATCGTGGTAATTATTGATAGATTGTTGAAGTCAGCCAGCACGGAAAGAAGCTGATTTCCATCTATAACATTTAAACATGGAAAGTTTGATTTCAAGGATCGCCGATTTATCCTAGATTGTAAGTAGTAATAAATTATAGAAATTCCAATCAGTATGTGTGAAATGGCATAAATACGAGGAAAAAGAAAGAAACAATTACTGGCTGAACTTCATGTGGATCAAGATAAAAGGCTTGATCATCCTGCACGCCGACAATGTAGGTCGAGGCTCCAGGTCTGCCACCTAGGATCCCAAGGCTTTGAGGAAAACTGAATGTTGCTGCCAGTAAAGGAAGATACCTAATGTAGAAGAAGATAATAGAGATTCAGTAAACAGAATGCTCTGGTTTTTATGGCAAAAACAGTAAATCATCCGCCAAATATCAATGCAGTTCACAATTTTAATTTTCGTTAGATATGGCCTTCTCGCAGTGCCTGACGTGTCATAAATCAACATGGAAATAAAGAAAACACGAGATAGCCATAACGTGTTTTGTGCGTGTACAGACATCAAAGACCAATCTATATTCCATTTTCAATAAGGAAATATATTTTGCAAATGATACTTCTTAAACCACTAGATGACAATTTACTTCTGCAAATAAATCTAGCTGCTAACTGTACTTTCCTGAGTTGAGTAGTATTATGAATATCGTCGTTTAGGATCACAGAAACAAGTGTAAATACTTTGTTCGCGAAGTCAATTTTAATGGTCGTAAATATATATGCCCTACTAACTCATGGAATTCTCATCACCTTGTCTATGGTGATAAGCATAAACGTCGAATGTTCTACAACTAATCACGTAAATTCAATTAAATGTGTGTATAGGCCAGTAGCCAGGAAATCTTTGAGCTATGATAAATATAAGAAAGATCATAAATAAACCACTAGGAAAAAAAAAAAGAAATCATGGCTAATCAAACATCAATCGAGCATCTAAGCCTCAATCTCAAATTAGTTAGGGTCAACTTATGAGCCACTAGCACGCATTCCACCTTATACAGTGAGGAGGACTCATCAACCTATCGCAACTCTTCTTAGTTTTCCGGACTTGGGGCTGGTTATACTTCGTGAAGCAACCATGATTTATAGTAACTTAGAGTATGGAAATTCTCATGCTGTCATTAATTTGTTAGTTACAAGTATCTTTCAGCTAGATTATAGCGCAAGAGAAGGAAATATTATATCTGGTAGTGCCATTCTTCTATTTCATGTTCTACTTGAAGAGGACAGCCCGAAAGTGTTGCATGGCAGGAAACATTAGTACGCGACCTTGAAGCATATACCATATTGTGCCCATCTTGTATCCGCTCTTGTTCCATTGAAATAATAGTTAGATCAAGCCATGTTATTAGATAGTGTTCAAAAGAGTTTGTGGTATTTTTATTAGTCTTGTTTTTGAGATTACGAAGCATGATCCAAAAATGTATTTTTTGTTATTATTTTCATTTGTGTTCCTTATGTTAGTGCTTACTGTTTTTTTTACACTACTAATCAAGGTATGTACCATGGCTCCTCTTAAAGAAGATGCTGGATTCCCCAGGAAAAGTCTTCTGGCCTAGAAAAGAAGATGCCTGATTCCCCTCAAGACAAGTCTTTTGCAACAAATGCTAAAAACTCGTCCAACTGTCCAAGGTTAATGAAATCCAAATCCTAAATGGTATGAGTGGCTCTTCATTTGGTAAAATAATGAAATACTTTAGACACTCAATTCTATGGAAGATTCTTTAAAGATCTTTTCTAGCACTGTACCATATTAATTTTATATCCACTTTCCCTTTATAAGGCCTGCCAAATAGTCGCTATAGCCACAAAGTATCATGTAACTCTGCAACAGTTTCGATTAATGAAACTGTTGCTGATTTGATAAGGAATGACAATCTTAATTTCTTTGCATACAATTTCATCATAATAAAGCAAAACCGGCAATGAAATAGTAATGATAGCACTAAAGTGCTTACAGATCCCCAACAAAGCACCACTTGTTTTACGACACAAACAAATAATCATTCAGCCACAATCTTCTTTTACTTGGCAAGTTCTTAAGTTATTTATGAAGGTAATGCAGAGAGATATACTAGAAAATAAATAGGCAAGAGTTTTGCATCATACAACACTACCAGTGCAGATAAGAAAAAATTAGAGAAATGAAAGGAAACCTTGAATTGATTTTGTCAAGTCCAAGAACCAA